CTCACTCACTCACTCACTCACTCTCACTCACACTCATACAACTGCACGCATGAATACAACAGTAACTCGAGTAGTTACTGGCACCGTCCTGTGAGAAATTCATTTTATGGTTATAGATGGTTTAATTTTGCAAACCCGTGATGATCCGGGTTAGAATTGATCTTCAGTAACCCATGCTTGTCGTAAGGGGCGACTAACGGGATCGGATGGTCAGTCTCGCTGACTTGGTTGACACATGTCATAGGTTCCCAATTGCGTAGATCGATGCTCATGCTGATAATCACCGGATCGTCAGGTCCAGACTCGATTATTTCGCAATATAGCTGGAATATTGTGCGGCCTAAAACTAAACTCATTCACTAATTAATTGTGCAAATGTTTATTCAAAAAGTGAATGATACATCATTTATTTATAATTTGCAACATTATTGTGATAGAATGTGGCACCAAACAGCTACCTTGGAACTTTTATCAGTGTGAATATCCCACGTGTGTAGCCGAAATCCAAAGATTGCCTTGTAATATCTAAAACCAGTTACGTCACAGCGCGGTTTGCCACGCTTTCAGCTATTTCACAAGAAGTACACATGTGTTCATTCTTAGAAGGAAATCAGCTGGAGAGAATTTGCCACGTCGACAGAAAAATTTCAACCTATGGGAAGCCAATTACGAAAAAAACTATTGGTCATTCACAACAAAAAAGTGGGGGCGTTGAGTCGTAGGACTAACAGCTACTTCGTTTCCGTGACATTTGTTGCAGTAGTACGTGACTCATCTCCCCAAATTACCGGCAGGAACCTTGGGTTCTGGACCTCGTAGAATGCCAGCTGGATCGCCCCCAGATTGCTTCATGACCGCGTTGTTTACATGCACTCAACACGCAACAACCTCTTCGCTCTCTGTTAAAAAATTACAGCTACTTATGACATTCTTACAAGCATAAACAAAAACGTCGTGAGACATAAATACTCAACACGTATTTGTTATTCAATATTGGTTCAGTTAGCTGCAGGACTATCAGGTGAGCTGAAGGTCCCTTTCTCCTTAATTAGTGTGTGTCGAACAGGTATGAGACAAGGTGTTACAGGTGGACCTACGTTATTCTGATTGCCCGGGTTAGTTGTTTTAACATGCGTAGATGTGATTGAGGCATTGTCCTGGGGTTTCATTTATGATGAGAAGTAATCGCACATAAACAGATATAAATAGAGACACGCGCCGTGCATTTATTTTTATGGAGGTTTTTTTCGCAGACTTTCTTGAGAGATCAGCGTGAAGTAAAAACGAATAGATGACACACTCTCTATAGAAGTAATCTACCGTCTCAGTTAAAATAATTGATAGTCTCCCTTCCAAACCTGTAACGTCTCTGGCCTGAAGAAATATATTCTACTTGTCGAACAAGTTTCATTTTTTTGGGACCGGCTGACCATGTCGCACACGACGACATACACAGGCGTACACAGGCAGACCACCTCGTACACAGGCAGACCACCTCGTACACAGACTGACCACTTCGTACACAGGCAGACCACATCGCACACGACGCCATGCACAGGCGTACACAGGCAGACCACCTCGTACACCATGTCCCACGAACAGATCACGTCAAACATCAATCACGTCATAAAATATGACTTACAAACATACTGTCGCGGCCATAAAATTTCCGAGTCTCATGCTGGGATTCGCACCACGGACCTTTTTACTCTGAAGTCGGAGCCTTGTCCACCTGGCCAAAGGGGTTATTAAAAATCATATCAGTCTAAACATTTAGTGAAAAGGAAGCACAGCTGAACAACACTATTTACTGCCTCGCAGACTGGAGCTAGGAGCATGTTCGACTGTTGAACAGTTGGCATCTCAAGCTGGCGTCGTCAGATTCTGATCTGGGCTCAACCGCAGGGAGAAAATCGTGACATGCCAGTCGATAAATCTTACACGTGCCCATATTGTTTATATTTGATAAAGGTGCTGAGCACCACTTCGAGTAGCATGTAAACGTTTGTCGTGGTCCTCCAGAAATATCGAAAATACATCTTTGTTCTTTGTCGTAAAAAACACAAACGGGGCTTTGTAGGTCTCCAGAACTACGTTATTGAAAAAAAACCAAACTCAAATATATTTACCGTCACAGATGTACTTATCGTTGATGCTGAAGATACCCATATAGACGCGTTTAGCTCATGGCTATGATATCTTGAGTGTGTATATGTATTACATTTTCAACTCCATAGGAAGTATACAACATTATCTTGCAAACGTCAAAATGTACGTTTGTCCTCCAGAAAGAGTATAATCTGAGTAATGTTCAGTCTGAAGATGAGTGAGTTTTACGCAGCATTTAGCAATATTCTAGCAATATCGATATCACGGCGGGGGACACACGTACCCATGTGGGGAATCGAACCCGGGTCTTCGGAGTGAACACTTTAATCACTAGATTACGCCACCTGAAGATGAGACAGGTTCGGGTGGTGCTGGGTGTACAGACTAACGTCCCTTAGACGTGTCAGGATCCGGATATAACATGACTCGGAGCTTTTCAGACACATTAACTATGACAAAACATTATTGCTGAGGAGTTCAACACGTTTATAGAGCTGCAGATAGTCAATAGTGAAAAGTTCTTGAACATTAGCCCTAGATGCTTCAGGGATGTACTTGAGAAAGCATTCAGGACTGCATACAGGTCTGTTTACACATCTGTACGTGTATGCACCATACGCTCTGGGCATGTTTCTTGCACCTATAGAGATATCGGGCACCTTGAGGGCTACACCTTCTATAGTATGTCGTTAATAGTTAGGGTGTTCCAGTTGTTTTAGGTGACTGTGTAGAGTTGCCTCCCTTGGGCACCCCAGAACCCTGATCATTGGTTCGAGTCCGGGTGCGCCCCTATAGTACCACAGCTTAGTTTTTTTTCAAAGTGGAAAATGTCAAAGACGCGAATCCGTCCGCGATTTCCTCGATTATAAAGCAGACACACTCTGAAATAAGTGTAGGACCGCCTCCGTGGTGTAGTGGTTAGAGCGTCCGCCCGGAGAGCGGAAGGTCGCGGGTTCGATCCCCGACCGCGTCATACCAAAAGACGTTAAAATATGGTTCTTGTTAGTCCCTGCCTGGCGCTCGGTATTAATGGGTAATTTTACCTCACCTCACCTGAAATAAATGTGATGATGTTGGAAACGAGGTTAACCCCGATTTGGTCACTTAAACAGCCGTAGTAATACAAGTGTGGACGGCTGAGCGGGCCTTTGTGTAATCATGACATGTAAGACTCTCTTCCCTTTAACTGATATTTCCCCCTGCGTCCATTCGTAACTACTCGCCTCTTTCTGTGACCTACAAGATTAATGCAGTTCCGAATGCTCCTGCATCCATGACCCAACTCGTGCCTTTCCGGGACAAGCCGAATGGATTCTTTTAAGTTACGGAAATATACGAGTGCTGACAAGAGGTCTCATTTGCGACCAACAGGTTGTCCAAAAATAAACCAAACGGATTCTCGTAGGTTACGGGAAAATACGAACGGTGACGAAAAGTGCTTGTCTGCCAATTAGCAACTGCCAATATCGCACCTGCTGCAAACATTTCCCCATTAAGCAGGGGAACCGGAAGCTTGTGTTTCTGGCTCTAACCATCAACACAGGCACCGAAGCACACGTACCTTGAACACCTGTAGGACATGGTGTATGTTTGCAGTGGGATATCTGTTTGTGTGAAAGCAAAAATGTCGCCTTGCCCTAATATAATTAAGTGCACCTCGGCTACACAGAGCATTGTCCTGCTTTGCATGTTAGAGAACAATTCCGTCAGTTGCTAACAGTTTGACTTGACAGTAATCGGGAACATCTATCAACATTATAGTCCGTTTGGCTCAAAAGCGGACCGATGAATTGCAATCGAACTCAGAAACTAATAAACATATAATACTCAATGAAACACTGATCATAATCAAAATATCAGACCAACTCTGAGAGGTGTTTGCACAATTTATGTCCTAAAAATAAAAAAGTTGTTTAACAAACTATCATTAAAATATTGACACAGTTCACTATTTGTTACGAGGGAGGAGTGCAGAGAAAGGGACAGCCAGGTGTTAGGCACGTGCACACGTGCCGACAAAGTTATTGATTCATTAACCTGTGCTGTGCCGTCTCCATCCTTTCTCACCTGGCTGTCCCTTTCTCTGCGCTCCTCCCTCGTAACAAATAGTGAGCTGTGTCAATATTTTAACGATAGTTTGTTAAACAACTTTTTTAATTTTAGGACACATGCTAATTGGGCAATAGATGCTATTCAGCGTATAACTGAATCGGTGGAGATACTTGATCAGGTGCTGAAAGTACGGCAACCCATATGTTATCTGTGGCACTGGCACATCTGGGCACACATGCAGTACAGAAGAACATTATTATCAACTGATAAGCTTTGTGTGTTTGTTGCTTAACGCCTTACTCAGCAATATGCCAGCTACATGGTGGAGGTCTGTCAATGGTCGAGTCTGGACTAGACAATCCAGTGATCAATATCATGAGCATCGACCTACACAATTGGGATACGGTGACGTGTCAACCTTGTCAGCGAGCCTGACAACCCGATCCCGTTAGTCGCCTCGAACGACAAGCATGGGTTGCTGAAGACCAATTCTAACCCGGATCTTCACGGGTATAAACATGGAGGTAATTGTATAGTGCATCTTCCTCTGTGTGGGTCCTGATAGGGTAGACTGTTCAGCGTAAAACACCTGAACAATACTCATAATGTCATATCCCAGTGGCATGGCTTTTCCGGTTCGCCATTTTAGTCACTGGTCAGCTTGGTCCAGAGTTAAACCTTTAATGGTCGTTATGAATTTCGAAGCTGGAACATTGCCGTTTGCGGCGTTTAGCTACATTCCATCACTGAGCCAAGCTCTGATATTAGACTGTGTTCTGACTCTTGATACCGTTTTTGAAGACAGATATGTTTTTATCTGAATATCGTCTTGTTTTCAGCTCTTGTGGTGGTGAGGTGCGAATGTCCTCAAAAAGTCCTCAATATGGCGCAGCTGTGTACGGCAAATCTCGGCATCGATCTTTCTCATTCTGGTCCGCACGAGTTTGTTGAGCTCGGGAAGATAGAGAAGGCCAAGATGGCGTGCAGGTAGGTGTGTGTGCGTGTGCATGCGTGTGGGAAGGAAGGGTTGAGGGTGAGTTTGGTTAACGCCGCCGGACAGTCTGCTTTAGGTAGAAGGAATCTGCCCTGATGATTGACGTACTCCATAGAGTTTAAGGTTGTGTTGTTATACACTCTATTAAGAATCTTTCGCTTGTTAATTCGTACAGGGGCGGTGAGGTAGCCTAGTGGTTAAAGCGTTCGCTTGTTACACCGAAGACCCGGGTTCGATTCCCCACATGGTTACTATGTGTGAAGCCCATTTCTGGTGTCCACCGCCGTGATTTTGCTGGAATATTGCTGAAAGCGTTAAACAAAACTCACTCACTCGTTCGTTATGTAGCTGGTACTGATAAAAAAACTAAGTGATTATGAGGTCACTAACGTGATCGGGTGGTCAGCCTCGCTGACTTAGTTGACACATGCCATCTTATCCCAATTGCGTAGATCGATGCTCATGCTGTTGGATCACTGGATTGTCTGGTCCAGATTCGATTATTTACAGACCGCCGCCATATAGCTGGCATATTGCTGAGTGCGGCGTAAAACTAAACTCACTCACTTATGTGTGAGAAAAGCTCATGTTGTGGATGTTTACGGACAAACAACGATCAGGGTGTATCCGGATTCTGACACAGCTAAGGGACGTCAGCCTGGACACCCTGGACCATCCGTACATGTCTCATCTTCACTTGGGGTAGCCTACTGGTTAAAGCGTTCACTCGTCACACCGGAGACTCGAGTTCGGTTTCCCACATGGGTACAATGTGTGAAGCCCATTTCTGGTGTCCCCCGCCGTGATGTTGCTGGAATATTGCTGAAAACGTTAAACAAAACTCAATCACTCCCTCGCTCTTAATGTAGCTGGATATATACTGGTAGCGACATTACACCCAACTACAAAAACACCCAGTGATTATGTCTGGAAAATGTGAACCGTCGCGACAGACAGTGATCCCATTACGTTATGTCATTCTATAATTCACAATAATGACTTTACAATTGTGTCCGCCTGCACCGCTGGTACCCCCCGCGTCTCGGTCGGTGAAACAACGTTGTGTTGACATCGTCGCATGACACACAATGCAGTGGTATGGCTTTATCACGATCAACTGGAACTATCTGACAACTAATTTGAAGCAGTGTTTAATGTTGTATTGGGCAAGTGAGAAGAGATTGAAGCTGCCCAAAATGATTTAAAGTAGTGTTTGCGATTTGTGGGAAGTGATTTGAACTGGTGTTTGGGATTGGAAAATAACCTGTTTACTTTATGTTAGTTTGTGGAACATCCAGCCAGCCTGATGGTTAGAATGAATGACTTGGCTGATTGTCTGGCGTTATACCGCCATATGTAATGTCAAGCGTTGATCGAGACAGCGCCAACTGCGTTTTGTTGGTATTTTATCCCCCGCCGAGCGTTTAGCCGATGCGGGGCATATTTTAGTATTAAGCTCCGTCCGTCCGTCCGTACGTACGTACGAATTGGAATATCTTAAGAGCCGTTGGCTAGATTCTTTTCATATTTGGTACCTAGGTTCATCACAGTTTAAGAAAGGTCCCAGTCAGGTTTGGTGACCTAGACCTTCATTTCAAGGTCACAAGGGGATTTTAACGTTTTACTCTTGTCAGCAAGATGTCTCAATAACCGTTCACTAGATTTTCTTCATATCCAACACCAAGCTTTATCTAGGGAAGGCGCAGGGCTCAGTTGATGTTGGTGACCTTCACTTAATTTTTAAGGTCATGGTGACACTATGAAGATTTCAGCAAGTTAAATTGCATGTTAAAATAGTCAGCAAGATATCGCAAAAAACAATTCAGTGGATTTTTTTCATATTCAACACCAAGCTTCATCTAATGAAGGCGCAGGGCCCAGTCAAATTTGGTGACCTTCACATCTATTTCAAGGTCACTGCGACACTTTCAAGATTTCAGCATGTTAACCTGAATTCACTGGACTTTCTTTATAGACTTTCAAGACTTCCCTTGTATGTTTTTCAATAAGCAATTTCTTTAGTACCATTTTTGCATATTTCATACACTATGACATTCATGTCAAGGTCAAAGTTAGTCTTGAAAATATTTGTGTGTTTGAACAACTAATGAGCAAGATATCAAGAGAGGTTGACTGGTCATGTTGTTGTTGACATTTAACTTCAACTTAAACTTTCATTACTTTTTAAGTTTGATTTGATAATTTGCGGCGGGGGATTATGTCACCTTAGTGACAATGCTTGTTTTGTTTGTTTTCGTTTTGTTTTTTTGTTGTTTCTTTTGGTGTATTTTTGTTTTTCTATTTGGGGTGGGGTAGAGGGTCTAAATAATCGACTTTGGATCAGGCAATCCTGTGATCAACATCATGAGCATCGATCTACGTAGTTGTGATACGATGACATGTGTCAACCAAGTCAGCGATCTGACCACCCGATCCCGATAGTTGCCTCTTACGACAAGCATGGGTTGCTGCAGATCAATTCTAACCCGAATATATACATTAATAGTAACATTTCTTTGTAAGTGCAGTCAATTGACACATCCCAAATCACTTCCGGATCATGTCACAATCAGTTGAAGTTAAGCAACGTTGGTCGCGGAGAGTCCTTGGATGCGTCACCGTGTGTGACAGCCTGACTCCTGAGGGTTTCTTTGTGTTTCGCGAAGCACATGTCATAATGTGCTGCAAGTGGTCTCACCCTTGGCATGCGAGTTTGTTCAAAATTGCCTCTGTTCACCAAGCAGAAAATGGGTACCCGGTGAAATAAGTCGTGAGACTTTTGACCATCTAGCGCCTAACAGCTAGCTTGGGTTATGCGGGGTAATAATGATCAGATTGTGCGCTTTGAGCAGGATATGTAGCATGGAAAAGGCGCCTTATAAATATTCTCGTTATTATTATCATTATTATAATTTAAACACAATATTGTCACAAGCAGGTTGTATTGCCTACCCACTCAGCAGCAAAATTGAGAATAACATTTGTTTTTCGTTTGTATAGAATGAGCATTCCTGATGATTAGAAGTGATCACCAGAGGTGCATTTGCTTAGCAATGAGTATGAACTAGATTTCTGAATTCCTCTCGGATTACTTCGTGTGTACAGGTTTATACTTGATTGTATGGTGTAGCGAGTATTCCTAACTGCAATGCATTGAGATGCAGATATGTGCAAAGAGCACATCCATAGGGACACCTTGTAATGTGAGCAGTTATTGTTCATAGATTTTTATAGAAACGCGACCCAGTACTGATCTGGATTCTAGTCATTCCGTGAAGATCCGCGTTACAATTGGTCTTCAGCAACCCATGCTTGTCGTAAGAGGCGACTAATGGGATGGGTTTCAGGCTCGCGGGTTTCATTGCCATATGCCATCGTATGTGCTCGAGCGTGCTCAAAGATTCTGTCTGAAAATTGCTCAGGGTTTCCCAAGAAATACACGGACTGATATCTGTAACGCACTTGCCGGTTGGAACTCCATTGAGTCATCAATTGATACCAGAAAGCTGTTCTTCTTAGGACAGTTGGGGCGGTGGGGTAGCCTAGTGGTTAAAGCGTTGGCTCGTCACGCCGAAGACCCGGGTTCGATGCCCCACATGGGCACAATGTGTTAAGCCCATTTCTGGTGTCCCCCCTCCCCGTGATATTGCTGGAATATTGCTAAAAGCGGCGTAAAACTAAACTCAGTCAGTCAGTCAGTCTTAGGACAGTTATGTAATTCCAAAGCAGATTTCCCCCCAAGGAAGCTGTTCATAAACCGCCTATCGCTACTCAGACATACCCACACCAAGTTGAAGTTGGGCTATGTGCCTGATATATGCACTATACTGGACAAGTATAAATTAACCAATTATCTGAACTCTTTCCTGAAAGCAAGGACATTCCCAAGTCAATCGAAGTGGAAAAATATCGTCAAAACCGCAGTGAAGAAGAAAGAAGAGAGCAGCTGGCGAGATCGAATCTCCTCTGACCCTGACCTTCATCATTTTATGTGGATAAAATCTGAGATTTCCACCCACATGGCATGTGGCGAAGTGGAACCCATGGCTGAAGCCTGCTGCAAACTTTGTTGTCAACATGTGTGCGATCTGGCGTCCAAGAGCTGTGTGTTGTGATTGCCCAAACTGTGGACAGCATTATAATGATTTCCTGACTCATGTGATCTGTCACTGTCCCAGCTACCAGTGCCAGAGAGACAGTCTGTGGTGCTCCCTGATTGACGTCAGCCCGCCAGCAATAAGTGTACCACCGCACGCCAAACCAGACATAGAGTTGGTGGCATGTCCTGCAGACCTCCTGTCACCCCAGTAACATGCGATCTACACCTCTACGCTCAGACTGTCATTACAAACCTGTATTCATTCCAGAAAGACTCTTAACTCTATTGAAGATTACCATTAATTTGATTGCCATATGTCATCGGATCAGAATTGCGTAAATCGATGCCCGTGATGTTGGTCACTGGATCGTCTGGTCGAGACTCGATTATTTACAGACCGTCGCCATATACCTGGAATTTGCAGAGTGCGGTGTAAAACAACGACCAAACAATTCCAAGAGTACATTTATTGCTGGTGTGTACACTGTGTGCGGGGATGTGGATTATGGGCTGTGTTTGATGTTGAGATATAGTTGAGGGGCGGGGATCAGGGGTTGGACAACGTGAGTGAGTGAGTGAGGACGTCAGCAGTAGTACGGCCATAATCTGAACAGAGTGAGTGAATTGGGTTTTACGCCGCTTTTTGCAATATTCCAGCAATATCTCGACGGGAGACACCAGAAATGGGCTTCATACATTGTACCCATGTGGGGAATCGAACCCGGACCTTCGGCGTGACGACCGAACACTTCAAGCACTAGGCTATCCCACCGCCTCTAATATGAACAGAACTCAAACCCAAAATTTTCAAATGTAACACGTATTATATTCGAGATAACACTTCCTCGGTAAAGTACAGCTTCTAGTGCCTTTTTGGAGGGATGAGTCCCATTC